TACTATACTATGACATTTTTATGCCTTTTTATGCCTTACTATACTATGACGTTTTTATGCCTTTTTATGCCTTACTATACTATGACATTTTTATGCCATACTATACTATGACATTTTATGCCTTACTATACCATGACTTTTTTATGACTTTTCATGCCTTACTATACTATGACGTTTTTATGACTTTTTATACCTTATTATACTATGACGTTTTTATGACTTTTTATGCCTTACTATAATATGACGTTTTATGCCATACTATACTATGACATTTGTATGACTTTTCATGCCTTACTATACTATGACCTTTTGTGACTTTTTATGCCTTACTATACTATGACGTTTTTATGCCTTACTATACTATGACGTTTTTATGACTTTTCATGCCATACCATACTATGACGTTTTCATGACTTTTTAGGCCTCACTATACTAGGATGGATATATGCCTTACTATACTATGACGTTTTTATGACTTTTTATACCTTATTATACTATGACATTTTTATGACTTTTTATGCCTTACTATAATATGACGTTTTATGCCATACTATACTATGACATTTGTATGACTTTTCATGCCTTACTATACTATGACCTTTTGTGACTTTTTATGCCTTACTATACTATGACGTTTTTATGCCTTACTATACTATGACGTTTTTATGACTTTTCATGCCATACCATACTATGACGTTTTCATGACTTTTTAGGCCTCACTATACTAGGATGGATATATGCCTTACTATACTATGACGTTTTTATGACTTTTTACACCTTATTATACTATGACGTTTTTATGACTTTTTATGCCTTATTATAATATATCATTTTTATTACTTTTTATGCCTTAATATACTGATGTTTTTTTTATGACTTTTCATACCTTAACATACTATGACATTTTTTATAACATTTTATACCTAACTATGCTATGACATTTTTTTATGACTTTTTATGCCTCACTATTCTATGACGTTTTTTTATGAATTTTCATGCTTCACTATACCCTGATATTTTTCGTGCTTTACTGTGACATTTTTTATGACATGTTATACCTTACCATGCTATGACATTTTTTATGCCTTGCTATACTATGACCTTATTTTATAACTTTTATGCCTTACTATACTATGACATTTTCTATGATATTTTATGCCTTACTATACTATGACATTTTTTTATGACTTTTTATGCCTTACTATACTATGACATTTTTTATGGCATTTTATGGCATCCTATACTGTGAAATTTTTTGTGATATTTTGTGCCTTAGTATACTATGACATTTTTCATGACTTTTTATGCCTTACTATACTATGACATTTGTTTTATGACTTTTTATGCCTTACTATATACTATGTCGTTTTATGACGTTTTTTAAGCCTTAATATACTATGACGTTACGGTGACTTTTTATGTCTTACTATACCAGGGCGTTTTTATGCCTTAGTATACTATGACATTTTTACGACATTCTATTAGTTACCATACTTTTTATGCCTTACTATAATATGACTTTTTATGCCTTACTATACTATGACGTTTTTTATGCCTTATTATGACATTTTTTATACCTTACTATACTATGACGTTTTTTCATGACTTTTTATGCCTTGCTATACTATGACATTTTTTATGCCTTATTATGACATTTTTTATACCTTACTATACTATGACGTTTTTTTTATGCCTTATAATGACATTTTTTATACCTTACTATACTATGAAGTTTTTTATGCCTTATAATGACATTTTTTATACCTTACTATACTATGACGTTTTTTCATGACTTTTTATGCCTTACTATACTATGACGTTTTTTATGCCTTATTATGACATTTTTCATACCTTACTATACTATGACATTTTTTCATGACTTTTTATGCCTTACTATACTATGACATTTTATATGACTTTTTATGCCTTTCTGTGCCTTATTATAATATACAATTTATGTTACTTTTTATGCCTTACTTTAATATGACATTTTTTTATGACTTTCTATGCTTTACTATACTATGACCTTCTTTTATGAGTTTTATGCCTTACTATACTATGACATTTTTTTGACTTTTTATACCTTAATATACTATGACATTTTTTATGACATTTTGTACCTTACTATGCTATGACATTTTTTTATGACTTTTTATGCCTTACTATATTATGACATTTTTTTATGACTTTTTATGCCTTACTATACTATGACATTTGTTTTATGACATTTATGCCTTACTATACTATGACATTTTTTATGGGATTTTATGTCTTACTATACTATGACATTTTCTATGACTTATGACTAATATATTATTTTTATGACTTTTTATGCCTTATTATACTTTGATGTTTTTATTACATTTTATGCCTTAGTATTCAATTTTGTTTTCACGACTTTTTATGCCTAACTATAATATGTTGTTTTTATTACTTTTTATGTCTTACTATACTAGGACGTTTTTATGCCTTATCCTGTCTTACTATACTGAGAAATTTTTCATGACATTTTTATGCCTTACTATACTATGACATGTTTTATTCCTTACCGTACTATGATGTCTTCATGCCTTATGATACGATGACGTTTTCACGCCTTACTATCCTATGACATTTCTTGTTCCTTACCATGCTTTGGCTTCTTCATGCCTTATTATAGGATGACGTTTTTATGCCTTACCATACAATTACTTTTTTATGCCTGACTATAATATGACTTAATCATGGGGTGGCACTGTAATACAGTGGTTGAAACTGTTGCCTCCCACTGAGAAGGTTCTAGGTTCCTACCACAGGCCTGGGGCTATTTTGTGTGGAGTTTGCATGTTCTCCTTGTCGCTGTGTGGTTTTGCTGTGGTTTAGTACTCCAGCTTCCTCCCGCAGTGCTTATTATACTTTGACTTTTTTATGCCTTACTATACAATGATGTTTTATTCCTTATCCTATGATTCTTCTTTATGGGGCGGTGTGCCGTTACTGTAGTTAGAACTGTTTCCTCACCATGAGAAAGTTCTGGTTTCAAACCCTGTGCATAGGGCCTTTCTGTGTGGAGTTTGCATGTTCCCCCTGTGTCTGCGTGGGTTCTTTCTGGGTACTCCAACTACCTCTCGCACTATGACCTTCTTTTCTTTCTTATTAAATTTGAACATACATGTCCAGCTTATATAATAATATGAACATACTGTATATTGACAGGTTTTGGGATTGATATATATACCTATAACATATGTCTATAATATAAACTAACATTCTAAAATACATATTTCTATTAGGTAGACATATATGTCTAAATATGATATTGTTCCAATTTCTAACAGTTTTACTATGTAATTTTTACATATAGGCTATTTTAAATACATATATGATTTTACTTCAAATGTACATATATTTTATACATAAAAATTCAACATTTGCGTATTGGCATTTCTGAATGTAAATTCAGATCTTATATATTAATAAACCATTTGGTTGACGGCATTAAAAAGTCAAACTCTTTGTTTTGGGGTGGGGGGTGGGGTGGGGGGTTCTTGCGTCCCTACCAATGTTGAGACCAAACCTATGCCCTTTCTTTTGTGTATTATGATGTTGCATGTTCATGTGCGAGAAAACATCACCAGCACCTCTGACACTCCACCACACACACTCCATTTTGCAGGTAAAGCCCACTGCGACACTGGTGGCATTGCTGGGTGTCCTGGCACATGACACACCCCTTTGAGCACTCCTCACACTGGCTGGACACCTTGTTGGCAAATGTACCAGATGGACAATGAGACATGCACCTCTGTTGAGCAGTCAAGAATTGACCTGAAGACAAAAAGATAAAGGATGCAAAGGTTGTCAGTAGTCAACAACTTCTTTAAATTTCATCATCCTTTCTCACACTACCTAAAACAGACAAGCCCACTAAACATTTTGTAGTTCAGTCTATTGATGCATAGAGACAGAATATGCTAACCTGAGTAGCAGCTCCTGCAGTCATCCTTCCCTGCAGCAGAGCAAGTCTTACAAGATAAATGGCACAGCTCACATTCGCCATAACCTGATGACAAAAGAATAACAGAACCCAGCACAAAATAGTAAGGCATGGATGACATGAAAGAGAGGAAGATATGAAGGGGGGGGGCTCATAAATTGTCAAACTAACTGAAAGCAAGTGAGATGTGATGAAAAACTTCTAAAGGATGTGTAACCCTACCTAGAAGAAAAATATATTTCACTGCAACATGCTTCACTATCAGCAGTTGTCAGCAGTTCTTCCAGTTTAATTTGGTCGGTTATGTTGACAACATGTAGTATTGAGGTAAAATTGACATTTGCCATACTGTTTCTGAAGTGTTTCTCAGAGCAGGTGGCCATTTTTCTTCCCTCCAAACACTCCCCCTTCTCCAGTGTGAATCCATCCTCACAAGAGTCACAGTCACCATATTGTGGCCCTCCGCAGGTACGACAGGCTCTGTGACACGGCTCACATTCCTGGCTCTCTTCATCCAAAAAGAAACCTTCCTTACAGTGATCAACGCACTCTCCATCTGGACACCAAACCATAAAATGAATTATTTTCTTAATGAAATTATTTGTCATCTCTGACATTGTACTTGGATGCTTATGATCACAAGGGACCAACAGATGGGGACTGTAAACAGGTCTTTAAAACATTTTTAAAAATACTGTCTGAGATATTTAAATTAGAGTATTTTATATGAAAATCAGAGTCATCAAGTGGAATGGATCGTGAAAACAGTAGTGATATTGGAATTACAGGCTAACCCTGTCTACCAAATGTGAAAGATAGTCAGTTATTCTGACCCCAGGAGTTTATCAACTGATACTCACATCATGACACAGCCCAAATTTGTAAATGGATCAAATTTTACCAAAGACGTAGGATCCCTTTTCACACCAGTAGCACTGGGACTGGTCACAGATCACACATAGTTTGTCTTCACATGGAGCACACACCATACTGTCTTTTGAGCTGTAGTACCGATCTGGACAGGACTGATGGCAGTCTGTGCCTAACCTGACAGACAGACAGAAAGACAGATAGTGTCAATATTAGAACCAATGGATGTGGGTGTGTGACTCAGTGAAAGTCTCAACTGAAGAGACTTACTGGTAGTAACCATCTTCACATTTGAGGCAAATAGTTTCCTGGTCCCGTTCTCCTGAATCCTCTGTGATGAAGAGCAGAAATTAAAATAAACCTTAAACACCAGATCAGACAAGTTGTGAATACTGGACTTAGTGAATAGGCTGTGTTTTCAATCTCAAAGCAAGACAAAGCAAGAGAGCATACTGGATCAGCCTCAGTATTACTTGTTCCAGCTTCTGACTAAATCACATTTAAGTATAGTGTTGTAGGTTTTACACTTTTTGCACTGATATAAGATAATATAACTGTTGTGGTAAGTATTTATGTAATTAACATGTGACAATGTTGGAAAATCCCATTTTATATCCCATTGTGTTCCCAAAGGCAACACAGCGATTTCTTCAAACACAGTTTCTTTTAACACCAGCAGGAGGCACTCTGACAACACACAATAAATGTGTTCAGTTCACTGTAGAGTTGAATCGCACTCTCAGATTGATCATTAATGAGTGTGATCAGTGTGTTAGCAAACAAATCAAAGCTAGAAACATTCAAACAAATGTCAAAGTCAAGTCAAAGTGTCTCTGAGGCTATTTCAGTTCACATCTACATCTGTTAGTTTCTCTCATCTTAAACAAGTCAAAATTCAGATGCTGCTGCTGTTGTGTCATACTGTGTTGGTGTCGTGCATACATGTGTGCATTTTTCTGTGCTGTCTGTTAACCTTGTGTTGCAAGTGTACTTCTGCTGAACAACACAAAAATAAGCATAATGTGAGTGACAGGTTGTGTAAAACACTCGGATATTTGCTGTTTACCTGTTTTTTGTTTGTTTTGTTGTTTTTTTTGTTATTGGAGACTGAAGAACATATGCAGGGGATATTAATAAGTAATTCAGGTGTGTGTGTGAGAGAGTTGTTGTACAGGGAAATAGAAAAAGTTTTTCTTGCAGACTAATTAATTCTTGCTGTCAATCCAACTGGTAACTGAGGAGGAGCCACGCTGTCATCCCTTGGTCCAACCATGTCAAAACAGGACACAGGGAGCAAAGGGGGGGGTCAGACAGGAAGCAGAGAGAGAGAGAGAGAGAGAGAGGAGAGAGAGAGAGAGAGAGAGAGAGAGAGAGAGAGAGAGAGAGGGTAAAGGAGAGATAGAAGGGGGCGAGAAAGAGATGGAAACAACTTCTAAAAAAGCCCCTTCTGCAGACTTTCCCTTGGGACATTCATCCTCTCCAAAAAAGCCTCCATCGACCCCCACACCCCATTCCTCTCTCCATCTCCTTCCAGCACCCACAACTTGGTTTGCACTTCAATGCAGTCGACAAGCCACTACCTGTGAAAGCAATTACTCATATATAGAAAGACTGGGAGAAAGGAAAGGTGGGAGGGACGGAGGTATAGAACAAGAGAGAGGGAGTGAGAAGCCGGAAATCGTGCCCTCAGGCTGTGTCTATGTGAAGAGAGAAAATAGCGCCCGCATAAATATTAACTGTGCAAGCAGGGAAGGGGGGGATTTCAACAGAATTTAAACTGGCATCCACATCCTGAAGTATGCACTTGTGGAATGTGCAAGCACACACACATTAACAGTCTACATGCACTCACAAGCTACATATTGCATATGTGATTAGCATTTAATCTCAGTAAAAAAAATAAAAAAAAAGCTGATATATAGACAAGAGTAGAGATGGATGAATTTTGCCATTACCTCAAACCATTCCTTCAGAGGGGGAAAGTGATATAGTGCGTTTATCAAGAAGTGCATGAGAATTGGGTTTATGAGATGAGCTTTAATGTGCTAACAGCCTCTGAGTGGAAGGAGTCCAGCTCCACACTAAAGCAGCTGAAGGATTACTGCTTTCCTGAAGCCTTACATGAATAGTGAAGAAATCTTATCTTGAAGAAAGATGGTCAAAAAAGGTGTTTAACAACTCTCATCAATGAAATGAAAACCATCTCGAGATATTGCAACCAAGGAATGAAAGAAATAAGAGCTCAGACGCCCATGACTGGTGGTGTTCACAGAAAAACTTAAAGAGAGATTGGAGATGTGCCAGCAGCAGTGCCCAGTAACAGAGCAGAGGAAGCCACAGAGCCATGTGCCAAGGAGGGCAAAGATAATGATGGTTTTTTTTTTCATCCTAGCTAAAAGGCTTTTTTTTTAACTTCTGGCAGCCCGAAAGAGTTTTTGTCATTGGACTACACAAGACATGTGTCAGTGCCATTCTTGAAATTACACAGAGCAGATCAAAACATGACCAATCCAATTATAAAATATTTTCAAACCTTTATTTAATGATTAATGAGTGTAGTATGCAGAAAGGATTAAAGGGTACAAAACTGATAATGAGTTAATAAGATGCTTTAAAGTAATTTGATGGGGGCGATAGGACTGAGTAAGTGCTGCCGAATCTTATCACACACAGTCAGGCTGGAGAGCACAGTGACAGATCTCTCACAACAGCACATCACAAACTAACACGCAAATACACACACACACACACACACACACACACACACACACACACACAGACTGAACTATTCTTTTATTGCATCATAGCACATGTCTTAAACTTAACCTTCTGATTTAAGACGTGCACCCAAAGCAGCCCCACAAAAAAGTGAAGACCAACCAAAACAACCTCAAATTGTCCTCATTTCACTGTGAATGTCTAAAATCGTCTTTCATAACCTTAGAAATGCAGGATGACACATAGTGTAAGCATGCACTCACACATATCAGATGCCAGTTTCAGACACCACACGCTCTGTTTCATCTTCACTTTTGCCTGTAGCATCGCGTCAAAGGGACAATCATCTCAAAACTCTAATCTGCTGACTGACTTATTTAGCTTGCAGAATTGTGATTACTGAGAGCTGGCGGGTGGCAGGGAGGCTGTGGTGAGGGTGAGAGTGAAGAAAGATATTCCACCCAGAATGCATAATGACATAATAACAGCCCGTCTCCACCTCAGATGAGTTCAGCACAATAACCACTTTCTATGGTATGCCGGTAATCATCTCTGGGAGAAGGAAGTGCTCTGATCTTTATGTGACTTGTACTGACAGGGTGAGGTGGAAGAGCACAGGGAATGAGATTTAGGGAGGACTTATACTGTAAGTTTTACCTCTGCTGAGAAAAAAATGGAAAAGTAGAAAATCAAAACTTTTCAACCCTTTGTGGGATGAATGATGTATGTCTCTGACATCAGTAACATGCTTTTCCTTGTGGAAAAGATAATCAACATCATTCCTGCAAAAAGTGAAAGATAGAAGATTTTCTGCCCCCATATGAGACCAAATACTAATGTGGCATCTTCTAGTGGGGTAAGTTGTCTGATAATTAACGCAGTTAAGTATTAATAGCTTGTCTATACTTGTCCAAATGTATTTTCTTACAATTGAAGATTATTGGAAAAAACAAAATGTTCATTAATTGCAGAACATCTTACATATCAATAACTTATCTCAGTCGTTGAGGCTCATTTAAATTCATTAATGATGATGTATCTGCAGTAATAGAGAGCCTGCAGCAAAGAGTGAGGTGCAACAACAATCAATGGCAATATCATTGGTAAATACAGGCAGGTGTCATGCTTTGGTAACAAGTTTCTCCAGAATCTCACTGTATCTCACTCCTGAGGACTGAAACAGTAAGTCTTAGACTCAAAGTCTAAATGTTGAGCAGTACAAGTTTCATTCATACAGTCACTGTGACTGCAAGGTACTGTGGTGTGTCATTTAGCTACAGTATATAGTTGCTGCTGAAGCTATAGTAGGCCTGGTTTTATTTCTGCAATGTGATCGATGAAGGAGATGAAAGAGGCGGGAAGAGAGAAAGAAAGTAAGGAGAGAGAAAAAGATGTCAACTCACTGCGTTCACATTGCTTGCAGCCCTCGTCACAGTGGAGACAGTCTTCATTCTCTCTATCTGCAACCTGACCTGATGAACGCAATGGACAAAATAATAGATCAAAAAATACATAAGACAGAAGAAAATGGTGATGAAATTATGTAATAAAGCCATGAAATTTTGATCATTTCAAAATGTTGTCCAGTATTTGAGTTCATGTTTACTGCTCAATACCAGATGACACAGTTGTTTAAAATACGGTTTAGTTCATGTTTATGTTTATGTTTATTTCACATCAGTTACTGCTTTAATAAAGGGAGAGAGGAGAAGAGAAGAGAAGAGAAGAGAAGAGAAGAGAAGAGAAGAGAAGAGAAGAGAAAGAGATCAAATTTAAATATATATTAAATCTAATTTTAACTGTGGTCAAACAAGGCCAACAGACAAATCCCACCACATCCACACCATCAGTTTTTTCTGTTCAAACCGTCTGTGGGGCCTGTTGAGACCTGCCTACAACATATGATAAGAATTTCATCTCATCCTCCCACTCATACAGTTTATATCCTCACATACAAACTCTCATCGTTATACTCCTCACTTCCGTCTCACATTCAGTGTAGTGAAGTTGTAACTCGCCACCTCCACATCTCTCCATCTTATCTCAAAAAAACATCTCACTCAAAACATTTGAGCTTTTTCTCAGTCCTCCTTTGGCTGGCATTCACGTTTGATCCCATATGATGAGATAAAGCACTATGTGTTCATTGTTCACATTCTCTCTGATGATAAAAAATAAATTTAGCAAATGTTTTTTTAGTGGACCAGATTACAACCAGAAAGCAGAAGCAAGAGCACATCGTCACAAGGCAGGCCTGGATAGATTAACTAAGTTAAGACAAGTCATTCACTCTATTTGCTTGGCAAGGTATTTTCATTTGTTTCTTTTTTTCTCCTTTTTTCATACAGTAGCTAAAGCAATAGATATTGATATAGATATAGGTATTTTTAGTGCGGAAATTTTAATTTCTGTTATGATGTTTTTGGTTTGTTGAATAGAGCTCTGTGGCCATATGTTTTTCTTCTTCTAATAGTACGCAGATTGCTTTCATTGCTAAAGTCATACATGTCAAAACCACCACAGAAAATGACCTCAGTGACCTCATGGACACATAAGCGTTATTATAACTTTCAAAAGCACCTTGATTCACTTATGAAATATCACTTATCTTCAGAAGCTTAAAATTCCCTGAGTGAACTGCACATTTTTCACACCTGACACAGAAACCCAAATGCTTTTAGTATCATAGTGTATGAGTTCAAAGAATAGTTTCCAATTCTTTGGTCAACCCGTGCATATTTCTTTTACACTGTGGCTCAGAGCCCTGCGTGTTGGCATATTTTCTGAGCATTTGAATTTTAATACTTTCTTTAAAATGAGGTCAATGTGCTACATGTGTGTTCCCTGAGGTGACGTTTGCCAAATTCAGGCCAGCTGTGTGACAGTGGTGCTGAGCCACAGTGGTAGCTATTACAAAATCCTTCCCAAACTCTTCTTTAATCAAC